ATACATGCTGCATGTGTTATTATAAAAAATATTTTTAATGACTCTTTTGACCCTTACTTTATTTTCAAGGTGGATTTAGATAGTGTATTTATTAAAAGATTGCTCTAGAACTCCTGCACATTTATTTCTCAATCTTTTAACTTTTTATACAAGTGATACGAACAGAAAATTATAAAATGATGGTAAACAATAGAAAAAAAAGGTTTTCTCCATTTTTTTGCTACTAGGTGTAACAACTTTTAGCAATTAGGCCTATAGCTTTCTGGATAATTTCTCTCTATGTGAAGGTTTATTTTTTATTAAAAATGGTATATTTAATTCATTGTTACATAACCCCATTTGTATAATACATAACAATGTAGCATAAATATGTTCCTGTCATTAAAGATAACCAATAATGACAGCGGACATAGAGTTCACCATATGCCAGGCATATGACTGAGCATTTTATTTGATTATTATTTTACTATTTTTATTTTCTCTTTTAGCCTTTGCTGCTTATGACTAAGACATGAAGCTTATTTCTTACTTTCTCTCTGCAGACTTAAAATGATATTCTTGTTGGCCTATCCAGTCCTCACAATGCCATATGTTTGGCAAATTATCATTCTCATTTTATAAATTAGAAACTGAGGCACAGTTCCTAATAACTTCTAATAACTTGCCTGAGGTCACACAACTAGCAAGTGGTAGAGGCTGTGCTCTCGAATACAGAGCTATGAACAAAGTGCCATTTTCATGCCTTAGGAAATGACAGCTATGCACCTATATCTTTTTACTGTACTTTCAGGTTCACTATTTTACATAGAGCAGTAGCACTTGATCATATAGATCCTGCACACATGTTCAGTTACTACCCTAGATAAGATGCCCATGGATAAAACTGCTGAGTCAAACAAAGGTTGACCCAGTTTTTAAATATTAGTTACATATTAGTCAATGTTTTGAAGAAATACATTTTCTAGACCTCTCTGATCCTTATAATTCTTGTTCCTTTCTGAAAAGGTATTACTGTCTTCTGCATTCAATAAGAGATTTTTTTCCCAAGAATTTGAAGCTTCTTTTTAAACATTCTCTTCCTTCTGCACTATGCCTATTTATCTAAAATGTTTAACAAAGTTATATATTTTCAAAAAGTGTCCCACCTCTGTAGCAGGCACTTCCTGCAGCTTGTCTTTTTTCAACTTTGTCACCTGGGCCTCTATCCGCTGATGGAGTTGTGTCGCATCATTTGACTTAGGCCATTTTTTATACTACTAATATTTTTCTTTTATTATTTCATTTTTTCTTTGAAGCTTTAAGAGAATTAAGGTAATAAATCTGATATATGATAATTTTATTCTCTTGATTTCAATATATGTAAATTAAGGAGCTGTCTGGCAAGGATGAATGGGGCACCCAATGTCTGGAAGGCAAAACCCCCCTTTGTGCCCCTCAATTGTTTCCTAACCTTGAGGAACCCACTTAATTGTTCTGTGTTTCATTTCCTTCATTTGCCAAATGATGAAAGTGAACTGAATGACCTTGAAGGCCTATTCCAGGTTTCAAAAAAAAAATGTCCATCTATCCAAGTAGATTGCTGAAAGTATTGTGTGAAGTTGGGGTAGATAGGATGTTGGGGGTGCACTGTGGGAGGCAACTAAAGATTTATTTCAACATACTAAAAATGTTGTGTGCTCTGCCACTTGACCAAGGCCTCCTAACAGTGTACTTTGGTGGTTTGTGAAACGTGTCTCCAAGGCCAAGGTAATTATAGTTGTTCCTCTGAAGCATGTCAAATGGCCTCGCAATTTGAATTCTTTTATGGCAAAGAAAAACCTTCCATGACAACAGCACTGGAACTTAATTACAGAATCCAGATCCAGGGGCAAAAATGGAGACAGTCACTGAGAGAGCAAAGACATGAGCCCTGGGTCACCTGGGAAGGAGCAGGTCAGAGTGACATCTCAGGATCAGCAGTATAGTCACACTGAGGGGGCTGTATTCCTACTTGCTATTACCAGCACATTCCAGGAACACCATACATTGTCTGACTTCTTCTCATAGTCAACCTAAGATTTTTATGAGGACAAGTATTTGGAGACTCAAAAGAATCTAAAGAAAACTAATTTCAAGTTACTCAGCCAATAATTGTCAGAGGTAGGGTTGGAGGTGAACCTTGAGAGACCACTCATTTATTTAATGGATTTTGTTTTAGTGTTTTGAATGCCCGTTACATAAAGGGCATCTTTTTAAAGGCTGGTGATGGAAAAACAATTGAGACAAAAATCCCTGCTTTTATGGAGTCTGACAAATAGTGGAGTGAAACCAGTCATAGCAAACCAACAAATCAATACATAATTTCAGATGGTAATAAACACTATGAAGAAAAATAAACTGGGTGTTAGGAGAGGGATTAGAGCAGGAGAAGGCCACTTTGTATGAGGGTGACGGGGGAAGCCCCCGAGAGGTGACATTTGAGTTGAGCCCTCCGTGATGGAGCAACTGAGGTCAATCCAAGATCTGTCAGGGAGAATTTTAAGTGGAGAGTTCATAAGAGCAAAGATCAGGGACTTGGAAGAGTGTGGCTTGTTCTAGAAACAGAGAGAAAGCCCAAGAGGCTGAATGAAAAGTGGGAAGGGAGAAAATGTCTGCCCTGGACTCAGAAGTGGGCAGGGAGAGGTGCCTACTTTACTGCACAGGCAGAGGGTAGGTGCTGGGGACTTTATTCAAGGGAATGTTAGGGTCTCCTGTTTCTTTAGGTGGCTTCCTTCCCCTTTGTGTTGTGTTGCCAACAGCAAGTAAAGGGAAAAGGGAAGTGTGTATATGGAACAGGCAGGAACATGTACAGAAAAGTTAAATTAGGGACCAAAGCTTTGGTTAAGACAGAATTCTAGGTTTTTCTCAGAACAATACTGAAATGGAGAGTGCGAATTTATCGAACTTACATCTCTGATATTAGGTAAGAAACCTTTACCAGAACCAAGTTGAGCATCTGGACTTTTCAAAGACCTATGTGAAGGATGCTGCCTCCTTTGTCTGAAGCCTCCCTTCAATATGTAGAGAGTGGTGCTTAGGTGCTAAACAATCTCGGGCACTTCTGAGTCTAGGGTTGTATATGCCTCATAGATTAAGTCTCATCTGAAATAAGGATGAGATTACAGCACTGGGTATCTGAAATCTTGTGCATTTGCTTTTCTATGTAATATAGTGTGTGTGTGTGCATATGTGTGTGTGTGTATCCACTTCTCTCAGAAAACATATTTTTGAAGATGTCATCGACACTTAACATATAGCTTTTCTAGAATTTTACTGTAGCTAGGTGTGCTGGCATAAGCCTCTAATCCCAGCATTTGGGACACCGAGGCAGGAGGATTGTGAATTTGAGGCCAGCCTATGCTATATAGTGGATTCAAGGCCAGCCTGGACTATATAGTGAGGCCCTGTCTCAAAAAAAAAATAATAAGGGGCTGGGGATTTAGCTCAGTGGCACAGCGCCTGCCTGGCAAGCGCAAGGTCGTGAGTTTGATTCCTGGTACCAGAAAATAAAACCCAAAAGAAAGTAATTTCATTGTAAATTCAGCATGTTGATTTATTTTATTTGAATGCTTTTTATAAACGTGCATACTAACCCATTAAAATGGGTTTCTGTCACATATAGGATGAAACCGATTATTTAGGTTAAAAGCTCACTAAGAGATTGTTCTCTTACTCTGATGCAAGTATTAAGACTTAATGCCTATATTTATGCAGCAAACCAAGTTGAATGACACCACAAGTGTATTTATAACTGGACCTACAGGGCTTATTCCAGTCTTGGTTCCTAACAACACAGATCTAGCAATCCACATTCATTTGTTTGAAGCGATCTTTGTAGGTGTTTAGTTGAGCACTGAGATACAATGAGCCCCAGAAAGCAAGCTATTAATTATAAAATAATTTAAGTACACGAATGTACTTGAGCAAGATTTGGAAGAAGTCTACCACTTTTAAGCTAGCTTTTATTAATAAATAGCACATTTATTTCTCAGGGAGAAAAACATTCTCAAACTATCTTCCTGTGTGAGGTTAGAAAAATTCTAACAGGACAGGAGTCAAAGGACTGGACACTGTAGGGACCGACCAAGGGCAACCTTGGGAGGAGAGAATGACGAAAGCAGAGATTCCTTATCTAAAGGGGCTGAGTTGGAGACCTGTTCAGGTTCCCCTGCTCCACATGCTGTGACTTGGGAGGGGACTTTCCTCCCCTGCCTGAAGAGTTCTTGCCCCTGGCTTCATAACTGTGAGCCCAGAACTCATAACTACCATCAGGATAATAAGTTAGCTGTCAGCGTGAGATGGGTGAGTGGACTGAACAAGCAGATTTTCTTCCATTGCCTATTTTCTTCGTTGATAAATGACAATTCCATCCTCTCCATTGTGCTGTAACTCTCACTCTGACACTGATTGCTGAGGGGTTTCTGGAGATTTTCTAAGTCTCACATTGCAGTTAATTCAAGGAGATAATGCAATTCCAATTGAATCATCAGTGTCCCTGCTGACAGACCCAGTGTTTTAGGAGCTCCGTGGATTGGATTGCACAACTTTCCACATTTAATATTACACACTTGCCACTCTGTGTCTTGCCCTCAAATCTTAATAAATGGGCCAAAGGTCTGATGGGAAACTGTGAGATAAATTATATGTTTATTATGCCAAGTTGAGTAAATACTGTTTGAAAGGATTACTAAAGGGTACAATCAAGTTAATTGCTTTTAAAATCTTTTTTGATTTGCTGGGCTCTATGAAAATTGGAAAGCAGTCACTCTGTCACAGTAAGCGATCTGAAGAAAGTGGTGTTAGAGCTACAAAATCTTCATGAACAGTCCCCTCCCACATGCCCAGAACTGTCCCCCAGGAGCCGAGAGTCCCCTGGGGCTGGAATGCAAGTTTAGCTGACAGACTGTTCTCCCTTCAGAGAAGACACATGCTGACAGTTTGCCTCGCAGATTGATGGAGTGGTTTCTTTCTTTTTATTCTAGATGCTGAAGAATACCAGCCTCCGATATGGAAATCATACTGTGAGTACATGAAATGCAAACCTCTTCTGAAGTCGTCAGCGCCTGCTTGCATGATTCTTGCTAGTTGTATGGTGTGCACGGTAGTCCCATGTCATAGCCCTGAAACCAGAGCTTTCCTTTCCCACCAAGGAGAGAGCTTTGTCAGAGGGGATTCACTCAGCACCTCTCCCATGATCCCCAAGAGCTAATGATGGCCTGTAACTCCTTTCAAGAATGATTAGAGAAAAAGATGGACCTTCTGACTTGTATTTGGGGCTTTATCTTATTTCTATTTTTTATACAGTTGCCCCACTAAAGGTGAATTATTGGTTTCCATGAATTGTGCTCTTAGCTGATCATCCTAAGGCTGTGCTAGCAAATTGCATTAACCACTGAAAAAATAACCAAGAGCGAAAGTTAATATTTGGTCATGTAGGGTGACTCCTTAGGAACAGAGATCATATCTGCCCATCGGTTGCCCAGTCAGCTCCCCTCATGAAGGCAGCAGTGCTCATCCCCTCCAACTCTCGCTCCTGAGTACTGTATTAGGGGATAGTTGTCCAGTATGAAAGGAAAGTGTTGTGGTAAGCTGGAAACCCTCACTGCTAGGGTTTCTTTCTGCTCCATAGCTACACACAATACCGAGAGTACTTACTACTATCACTATGGATGTGCTCCATTGGGAACCTGCCTTGTGCCAGCCACAGCACTAAGCCACTGGATCACAGATTCTCATCCTAGCTCTCACAGATGAGCACCATTATTATCACCATCCCAGGTAGTAGAAAACACTACTCAGGGAGGGTAAGGAACTGGGCAGTCTCCCCACCCAGAAGCAAGCCTGGCCAACCACCTGCATGTCTCCAAGACCTTTCTTTTATACTTATTTAAAATTTTAGATATTTTGTATCGTGTGTATATATATATATATATACGTATGTATATATATATATATATATATGTATATATGTATATACATGTCAATGACAGACCCAGGTAAACAGTATGTCCCATATAGCCTCAGGGTATACCCTCTAGGTTTGTGTGAGTTCACTCTGATACTCACACAACCGTAAAATCACCTGAAAATGCCCTTCTCCGGCACGTTTCCCCATCACTAAGCAACGTGTGAATATAATATATACATAGCCATTCACACACACGCATATATATGTGCATATTTGTTCCAAAAGCAATACAAAGCTACACTGAAATACATAAAGCTGAGACAGGAATTTTCCATTAATCTACACAAACCAGCCCTCATCTCATATTCTAGCCCCTGCCCCATCTTCCAAGGGCTGACTTCTGCCAGTTTTGTAATATATGTCCTTCCCATTGTTTCTTTTTAAAAAGCCATGCTTAATATTGAGGTATTTTTGTTGTTGCTGTTTTGTTTTGTCCAAATGCCTGTATGTTGTACTTGATGCTCATCAACTTGCTTGTTTCACTCCACAAATAACTTGTTTTCATCTTTCCATGTCAGCACATCCAGAGGAATCTCGTTCTTCATTACAGGAATCTGTTCTTCCATCTGTGAAATAAAGGGGTTGTGTGGGTCTCCAGGGGCCGTCCCAATCTAGTGCTCTGCCTTCCTATCTTGGATTTTAAAAGGCAATGCTAATGACTTAGTAATTGGATGTTTTTGTTTGTTTGTTTCCTAATGGAGTGTGAAGTGCTCTGACAGTAAATCAACAAAATATCTGTAGTGAGCGGTATTGGAGGTTCCATCCTTACTGTGTCTTGCACACTGTCATGCACACGACCTTGCATACATTAACCACCCAATAAATATTTGTTGAGCAAATGCCACTACAGAGAGCTTTACAGAAGCAAAAGGATGGCATTGACTCAAATTCATCTCATCTTTTTCTGTGTCACCTTGGCCCATCCAATTTGTCTCCTAAAAAGCACTTTTATGTCCTAAGGAAGCTAGAGAGAAGATCGTTAATTACATGTCCACAATATCAATTTCACCCTAGTGTTCTGGGTTTAAATGTGATTTTCCTATCTAAATTCTGTTTTTTCAACTTGTTCTAGAGTCATAAAATGACATTTGCCAAAAGGTTGGTCTCGGCTGTTAAATAAAAACCTAATGGCATATAGAAAGGTCCTCTATCTTAGATACATCTAATAGTCATCCAGGCTCTTTGAGGGACCCTAATGATGTGGATCCTCCGAAATGAGGAAAATGTGTCATCCACAGCACCAAGAGCATGTTGTAAAAGTCCTGAGCATCACCACTGAGCAGTCTTTTGGGTGTCCTGGGTCCACAAATTCTTTGACATTGGGTGTTGGATCACTTATAAATGTACCTCATAATATAGTTATCAGCTTCACACTACTCTGTCTTACTCCAAACAGTGCCACCCATTCGTTTAATCTTTCAGCAAATACTTTTGTAATGTCAGAGGATAAATATTAGAAATCAACAGAGAATAAAATGTGATCCACACTTTCCTGTAGTTTGCAGTGTAATAGGACACAGATGTAAACCAATTAAATTTAAACTGTAAATGGACTCCAGGAACCAAATGCTACTCCTCTTCCTGTTGGAATTAGAAAAGAGTTTACAGAAAAGTTGGGATTTGATTGCAGTCATGATAGATGGCTTGTAGAAGGAATCTGAGGGCTTTACAGATCTTCCTAAGGCACTTCTAAAACCCAAAGTATGCTAACACAGTAGGATTTATTGGAAAGCCCAACAAAGGCTTGATATTTAATATCAAAATATTAAATTTGCTTTGTTCTAAATAACCTGTGAGTAAGTCCATTCTGAGCCTTAAGAATCGCCACCCTCTTTTCTTTGGAATGTGCACAAATCATTCTCTGAGAAATTAATTTTAGATACCAATGCCAAACTCATTAACATATCATTTGTGGAATCTATACTCTTCTATCACATTCTTTGTAACTCTAGCAAATGCATAACTCATGGTAAAAGATTAGCCTCAATTATGACATTATTCTTGAGAGGACATTAGTCTACTTCTAATGACTGACTTTAGGAAGGCATTTTAAGTTTTAATGCTAATGGCAGTGTTCTTGGCTGCAAGTAACAGTTTACTCCACTCAGTTTCTTTGACTTAAGCAAAAAGCCCAGACACAGTGACTTCAGGCCTGACTTGTTCCATCAACTCAAATGGCATCACCATGACCTTGTATGTATCTCTTCCTTTCTTGGTTCTACTTTGAGAGGTTTGGTTTCATTCTTAGCATGTCTTTCTCCAGATAGCTACTAACAGTGCCAGAGGTATTTCTTCTTCTCTGAGGAGCTGCTGAGCTAACAAAGAGACAGTCTCTTCTATTGACACTTTAAGCAAGGTCTCTTAATTGACCTGGGTTACCTGTTCCTGAATCCAGCAGTGGAGTCAGGGAGTTGAGACATGCTGACTTTCCTACACTGATCAGAACCTGCTGTGGGAACTCAAGGAAGGATGAATCCTTAGAACCCACATGCTTAGAAAACTTGGAGAAATGTTGAAAAGGGGAAAATAAAAATAGATGCTGGGAAAGTGACCACAGATGTCAGACTTAGAAATGTAAGAGCAAGGAACTTGAGAAATCAGCTCTCCCAATATTTTATATAAAACTAAAGTTCATTAATTTATTCATCTGCCCAGCAAATGTGTATGAAGTCTCTGCTTAAGCCAGACAATGTTTTGATGTGTTGTGGGGCCTCAAGGATTTATATAATTGGTTCTTGACTCAATGAGTGATGATGTCACATGGCTGTGCTGAATTCCTGCCCTCTCTGTTCTCCCTTTCTTAGCCACCACCACTGCTGATTGCTGAGCTTGGCAGCTAATCCTCAACTTTAAGACGAAACCTCCAAACATTGATAAAGTCCCTGAGAAAGGGCTGGTTTCAATGCTCTCAAAGAAAAAGCTGCTTTCAGTCAGACGTGGTCGTGAATGCCCGTAATCCCAGCACTCTGGGAGGCTGAATCAGAAGGATCACAAGTTTGATCCCAGCCTAGACAATTTAATGTCTGTAGTGAGACTGGTCTCTCAAAATGAAGATAACAATACACCATGTATAACTGTTGTTATTCTTATATTATTTTGTTGTGAAATTTTGTTCTGTTGTTTCATAAAATTTTTAAAAAGGGATCAGAGAAGGGCTGGATGTGTAGCTCAGTATGAAGACCCTGCGTTCCATTTCCAGTACAGGTTTGAGGATCTACTTTAAGTTCACCTAAAAATAATAATAAAAGCACATGTGAAACTTTAAGCCAGAACTACATGAACCACTGCCCTAAGCAGACAGGTTCAAATACGAACCATCATGGGTATACTCAGAAAGATTTTCTTTTTTAAGAGGCCAAATGCCTATTAGGCAGCAGATGCTGTGTCTGACAGCTCTCCCTCGGGCCTTTCCTAGGCAGCAGGTCAAGTAGTCATGCTTCATGCCTGACTTTCTAAATAGAAGCTTGGAATCACACAGTCCTGGTCTGCTGACCCTCTGCATCAGCGTCATCTTGCGGGGTGGGGGGTATTCATTACTTTCTCATGGGTGAGACACAATACCCAACACCTAAAAGAGGAAAGGTTTATTTTGGCTCACAGTTTGTAGAGGTTCCAGTCCGTGGCTCCAAGGCATGGCAGAGGGGCATAGCAGAGGACAACTGTTCATGGCAAGGCAGGGAGGAAGCAGATAGAGATCAAAGGTGGAGGGAGGGAGAGACACCCTTCCAGACCCCTCCTGCAGTGACTCATATCCTCTAACCAGGCTTCACCTCCCAGCATCATATTACCTATAAACTCCTCAGTGTTCTACTGATGAGAATCACTCCCCCATGATCCACTTACCTCCTAAAAGTCCCACCTGTGACTGCATGAAACTTGGGGGAAATATCTAAATATGCACCATAACAGGGGGAATAGTTACAATAGTCATTCCTTGGTCCTATTCCAGATCTCTGAATTGGAAAAGTGGGAGTTCTGCAATTTTCAAGCCCTACAGGCCTCCCTTAGGCACATACATGCCCAAGACCCCCTGATTTGAAGTTCTACAGGTGT